ATCAACTGAGATTCCTTAAACACACTGCTCTATCTTTAGAAACAGTAACACTTGGAGAACAGACTCCTGTCTGTCTTCCCCACAGGGCTAATAAGCTCTCTTATACTTTTCCTCAGTATAATCAGACAAGTCTTTCTGTTACTGATCCTCTCAATACAGTAACCTTAGCCCTTGTCTGCTGCTTATTCCCTAATCTTAAGGCTCACTTTAAAAACTTTCCTTCCCTGTCAGATTCCTACTGTAACTTCCTATCTTAAAATCTCATCCCTCCGTGTCAGATGTCAAGACCTTTCTCTCCCTCTCTCAAAAGCTGACAGGCTTTTTCCCTCTCTCCACCGACTCCTCCCCTAATTGCTCCAACCAATCAGGAGTCAGCTTGACTCCTCCTCCTGTCTCTGCCTGCCTTCCAAGATGACAGCCACTGTCATGCAGGCTTCGGCCTTGTCGTCTTAAAGGTAGATTCCACTACAAGGAGCATAGGAATTTAACATGAGTTGAATCATTGGTTCATCTAGTTCAGCACCATCAACTACTAGAAGTGGTCTTCAAACATTCAAGAGGAATTAGCCCTATATAAAGATACCTGTAATTCCCTGGTGGTCTCCCATCCAAGTACAATCCAAACCTGACCTTGCTTACCTTCCAAAATCGGATGAGTTGAGATGTGTTCGTAGAGGCAAAGTAAGTAGCATATGGTTCCATGCAAAATACTGGCTCTAGATGTATCCACACATATATTAATATTTTCATTCTAGTAAGTGGTCACAGCTGGCCCAGGCTACTTCAAATTTCCTGAACAGATGGAAGATCGCCTAATCATTCTGATTAATCTGAACCTAAAGTTCTGACTAACTGGTTAAATTATCATTGCTATCATTTATATAAACCTTTGTGTCTATTCAACATCAGATACCAGTCTTTCAGCTAGCAGTTAGCAATAGGGTCTCGATGCAGTTCAATCCCCCACCTCGCCCTCCAAGCATGAAGAATCTTCACATATACATTTTCTCTTAACCTAGTTAGTTACTTATTTGAAAGATTTATAAGCCACTTTTCAGGTAAAAACCTACCAGGGCAGTGTGGAAAATGGGGGGGGGGGGGGGGGGAGAGACATACAAAGCACAGCAAAGCAGTATTAAAAAAATTCAGTGTCCCCAACAGAGCCCTTGCCTTATTTATATGCAAAGGTAAGCAAGTGAGATTGTGGAACTTGCTTAAGGAAACTGAACTAACTTTAATTTGTTGCAGTTGGAATATAAAAATATATGTCAGTACTTTATACTAACTCTCAGTGAAAACTGTTAATGCAAATTCTGGAAGGTAGCTTTCAAAAAACTAAAAGCTAACAATATATGAGCAACAATGTTTCCCCATTTTATTTTTTAAGTTTAGAGTAACAACTTCTATTCTTAAAGCACCTCTTTTCCCACATGCTGCTGCTCTACTGTTTAAATTCTTTAATGGAATTTTGAATGTACTGACTTGATAGGTGGAAGGCATAAATGTGGAATGCTCTAAACCAACAGTTGTAATGTTCCTTGCAAAATCTCAAACTAAATATTATAATAATAAACAACAGCTTTCTGCCAAAATTAATGAAGAAAATAGTGCTTTATGCACTTTGGTATTCCACTCTCCACAATATTTTGATGCAGTTGAATTTATCACTACTGCGGTTCACAGACACCAGAATGCTAACAATACAGTTTCAGGAATGAATAGAATGAACTTAAAATGCATTAGAGAGTGATGAAGGCGGAAAAACAATCTTCCTTCTCCTAATCTCCACATACTTTAGAGTGGTACATAGTGAAGTTCCAGGACCTTTTGAAATTACTGACTGAAAAGCAATTTGTAACACAAAACAATTTCTGTCAAATGAACCTCTGCATGTGAAAAGGCATGGAAGCCACACAGAGATCATGTAAATAAAGCTAACCTTAACACACTTTTCAGAACCTAAACAACCAATATGTTTCCAGGGAAGATCATTAAATTGCTGTATACCTGAAATACAGTTCTACATATTCGTTTTGGATATGAAGAGCAATAAGTTGGATGAAATTAATTTCTTGTGGCAGTGTGGTTTCATAAACTGTTGTGACAGAGGCACTGGAAGGAAAAATTAACACAATACATCTTGTTGAATTCCTTTACAGAATCATAGAAAGATAGAGTAGGAAGAGACCACAAGTGCTGTCCAGTCCAACCCTGTGCCATGCAGGAAGACCCAATCAAAGAACTTTCAATAGGCCCTTCAGCCTCTGTTTAAAAACCTGCAAAGGATAAGATTCCACTACACTCTGAGGCAGCAACAGCACTGATGCTTTCTTCTCTCCACAGATGACCCTCAGATTATCCATGGGTCATATAAAAATCCACAAGCTCGCCCCTCAAAACCTGCCTTCATCTTATACATGAGATCAACTTATACTTGAGAATATTATGGTATTCGGAGATTAAGGGAAGGAGTACTCAGATTTCAGTACATTCTGATACCTACCTGTTCCACGGACATAGCTCGTGTCTCAGGAGAATGGGTGGCATCCACATAAAAACCAGCTCCAGCAATAATATGGACTCCAGTTTCCTCTGCAAATTGCTTCAGGGTCTTCACATCTCGCATGAGCCCAGTAGTTGTATTTTCCACAATGGCTCCACCACCTGCTGCCTTGTAATGCAACAGTTCTTCCTTCACAGCATCTGTCTCCTGATACAATAGAAGATTCTCTTTATTGCTGTACGGGTTCTGCTTAAGCCAAAACAAGTTCTTCATTTCAATGGATTTTTCTGATAGTTCTTCCTGGCCAGAAGGAGGAGGGTAGTAACAGCAACTGAAGCTCATTGTCAAGTGCTCATGGGTCAGAGTTGAACCAAGCTGGCTTGGCTTGAGAAGGCCCAATACTGTCTGAATTTTACCCCTTTGCGAAGACATTTCTACTTTATTCTGAAAATATATAGGAAAAAAGTATGGAAAAGATGTTTAAAACCCAATACTAATTTGCTTCTCACATCAAAGAGCAGACTAAACACATTTAACACATAGAAGGAAATACAAATTTCACATGCAGATGTTTGCTAAATGATTACCATTAAAGGAGCAATAAAATCCATTGCATGAGGTTGAGACAGCATTCATTCAAATGTACAGATTAATTTATATTGAGGAGGAAAAATAAAAACCATGACTTTATGAACCTTGTAACAGCAGAAATGTTCATATAGAAATGGTGCCACAGGAGAGGGAGATTGGGAATACAGGAATGGATGCACGGCCATCAGAACAATAGAATCTTAAGAATTGGAAATGATCACAAGGGCCACAATCCAATCTCCAGCTATGCAGGAAAACACAACTAAAGCGCTCCTGGATGATGCCTACCCAGCTTTTGCTTAAAGACCTCCAAAGATCTACATCTAACTATCTACCATATATGCATGTGTATATTCCACTTGAACATTAGGAAGAACTTCCTGACCATCCTTCCTTCCTTCCTTAGGTGATCCCTCGTGGCCCGAGGATGATGCTGATCCAAGGTGCTGATCCTCTTGGCAGTGGGTCCGTAGGTACCTGTGGAATCCTATTCTTGATCCACATGTTTTCCCACATTGAGGACAGTTTCCAAATGGAAGGCGGTCCCAGTCAGGGTTGGCTTGTCAGAGCACCCGATTTTTTGGAGGATTGTTTGGAGAGCACTGCGATTCACTGTGTCGAATGCCTTTGCAAGGTCAATGAATGCCATGTACAGAGGTTGATTTTGTTCCCTGCATTTTTCTTCGAGCTGTCGTGCAGTGAATATCATGCCCACCTTTCCTCTGAGGGGTGGAAGCCGCTCTGGGATTCTGAGAGAGTGTCTTCTGAGACAGATAGAGAGGGTGGTTTGAAAGGGTTATTGCGAGGATTTTCCCAGTGGAGGTTGAAAGGGCGATACCTCAATAGTTTCTGCAGTCTGTTCTTTCCCCTTTTTTGAAAAGGGTGATGATGGTGGCATCCTTGAAGTCTGCTGGGATTTTCTCGGTCACCCACACTTTTTCAATAAGCTGGTGGAGTTGTTGTGTCAGTTCAGGTCCACCTTCTTTAAAGATTTCAGAAGGGATCCCATCAGGTCCACTGGCTTTTGTTATTTTTTGTTGGTTGATGGCATTGCTCACTTCTTCCAAAGTAGGTAATGCTGCAAGCTCATCCTTGGTTTGCTGTTGCAGGATTTGTGAGAGAACCTCTTCAGCCACATTGGAGCTGCAAATCAGGAGGTTTTGATAGTGGTATTTCCAATGTAGTGCAATTGATTTTTTTGTCCTTCAGAAGTTTGGTTCCATCTGATGAGCATAGAGGGTGTATCCTATGGTTTCTTGGTACCATTCTTGGTACCTTTGTGGCTTTAAAAATTCCCGAACATTATGGGTATCTGCAAGGTGTTGGATTTCTTCAGCCTTCTTTGTCCACCAGATGTTCTTGAGTTCTCTGGTCCTTCTTTGGATCTCAGCTTTGCACTAGCATTGATCTTTTTCTTAGCAGCACAGTTGGTGTCTCTCTGCCATATTTGGAAGTCTTTCCTTTTCTTGTCAATTAACTGTTGGATCTCTTGTCATTTTGTCATTTCCTGACCACAAGAGCTGTTAAACAGTGGAACTCTGTGCCTCGGACTGTGGTGGAAGCTCTTTTTTTGGCTACTTTTAAACAGAGGCTGGATGGTCATTTTTGGGGGTACTTTGATTGTGCATTTCCTGCATGGCAGTGGGCTGGACTAGATGGCCCATATGGTCTCTTCCAACTCTATGATTCTATGTATGTCAACCTCATATACAAGTCAAAGGCTAGACTTATACAGGAGCACATACAGGACCTATTCAAAAGGAAGTCTACTTATTTCAATGGGACTTACTCCTAGGTAACATCAATGCAACAGCAACTTCTAAATCAAAACTAGCACTTTGAATTAAGCCTTTAGACAAGACGGAATCCATGTGGCTTTTTGAGTGTAATCAAATTATTATCCTGGCAATTCTGCACTGGTTTTATTATGTGCATGAACTAATTCTTTTTGATGAATTGCCTAAATGTGTATTTTAATTTGGTATTTTATATATATACAGAAAGTTATGACTGATGGTAGGCTCCCTCTGTACTATACAAAGTTACAACATTTAACAAGCAGGGCTATGGCTGTCGTTAGACTATGGTCAAAAACATGAGGAGCATTTTCTAAACTCTCTATTTACACCATTTATAATTAACTCAAGCTCTCATTTATTTTTAAGTTTACTCCCCAAATTAACACTAAACATAGCTGACTGACTAGCTCAATTCTGATCTGCCTGATGGTAAACGCAAAGGCTTGAGGATATGGAGTTATAAGCTCCAGTCAACCAAAATCATCAGTTATGAAACAAAATACATGTTTAATGATGTCCAGAGGATAGGACTAACTGGAGCATACATTATTGATTAAACAGAGGCCCTTCCTGCCTGCCTTTTAGCGCATAATACCATAAACATTGGTTTGTTACTGGTACAAAGCCCTCAAAGCAGATTTCCAGCATTTCCCCTTTCCTCTATGAACACAACAGAAAAGTTAGAGTCAAAAGGGCAAAGTGCCCATAAGCTCATTTCTAGTTCTGAAGAGATTAACAAAACATCAAGATGGCACCCTAAAGGATGACCTACCCGCAACATGCTATTATAAAAATAAAGCACCCGCAGGAAAACAAAAAGAGTTCATGTTACACAACAGACAGTGACGGTCCGAGCTGTTTTATGGAATCCCACCAAAAACAGGGATGAAGGCATACCAATATGTTACTGCACTCTTGTCTTACGTAGGATCAAAAAGTATACATATTAGTAAGTAAAAAAGGCAAGGAAAGGAAAATTCCAAACTAAAGTACTGCTGTGCTCCCCTTCTAAAGTAAAGCATCACTACAGATAGAACATCCATTATTCAAAATTCTGAAATCTTCCACAATCCAAAGTTGTCCACATCAGTGGATAAGTAGTGACACCTTTGCTTTCTGATGAATCAGTGAATACAATATTTGTTTCATTCACAAAATTATTTAAAGTGTTGAGTATAAAATTACCTTCATGCTATAGGCATAAGGTGTATATGAAATTTGTGAGTTTTGAGTCCCATCTTCAGTTTTCTCATTAGATATATGCATATTTTCCAAAAGCCAAAATCCCAAACACTTCTGGTTCCAAACACTTTGGATAAGGGATACTCAATCTGCATCAGGATAGTGTGAAAATGGGATTCTAGTATATGACATTAAAGTGTTGAAATGTTTACTGATGGTAAAGTAATATTCACTTTGGTAGGGTGACCTGTAAAGCTACAACATGTAAGATTTCTGAGAGCATTTCGCTAGTGTTAATCAAGAAGTGCAAAATGTTTTTCCTGTGCAGCCACAGTTCCTTTTGATTAAACTCAAATTCTCTGACTCTGCTATTAATTGACTACTTTTCATCAGAGCAAATCTTCTGTTAGAGCAGCTTCCAATTCTATGAAAGATTCAGCACTTCAACCCATGCTTACAGCTCAGGATAAGAATATAATTAATATAATGGCACTAAATTGACTGCTTAACTCATTTTCATTTTTTATCACAAACTGGGCTACTAAAGAAATGTTAAATCCTGCAGTAAGCAGTAAGCTATGTTCGCAACATAACATTCTTTGGCATGACTCCTTTTCAGCTCTATTGAACAAACATTACACAAAGACATTTATAAATACAAATCTCCTGTATGTTATATACTGATGTTATAGTCTTCTTACTCAAAGAGTGTAATTCACTAAAGCATTTTTTTACATTCAATTTTAATTTCAAAATAAAAAGGACATATTTTTTGTTATCAATTCATTTACTTAACAACTACACTTGCACAGACCTGTGGTTGTGGGTGTCTATCTCTAACAAAGAGATCTTAAGTCTGAATTAGAAATACTTTATTTAGGCAAACTGAGAACAATGACATAGCAAAGGCTACATTTAGTCATAACTAACGTAATTACTATACTATCTACTTAAATACACAAAACCACTTCATTAACTTAATTAAATGGTTTTAACTTTCAGAAAACTGCCTGCAGATTATGGAATGGGAGCAATATATTTTTAAACTCTGTCAATTGTTTGCAGTTCATTGCTTCAATTTTTGATAAATGAGTCCTAGAGCAAATAATGACTGAATTTCCCTAGAAGCCAAGATGACTGAACAGAGACCCTTTCCACACAGCTATATAAAATCTACATTGAACTGGATCATCATCATCATCATCGGCGGTCACTCATATCCAAGTAGGATGGCCTTCCAAGCATAGGGGATCAGCAGTGAGTCTGTATGTGACTGTGGAGACCTATTCTAGACTCGCATGTTCTTCCACGTTGAAGACATCGGTTTCCAGGTGGAAGATGGTCCTGGTCAAGGTTGGCTTGAAATGCCTTTCTCTTAACATGTTTCTCCCTTTTGTCCTTTATTCATGCCTCTTCGAACTCCACAGTACTGTTGGTAACAGCTGACCTCCAGTTTGAGAACTCAAGGGCCAGGGCTTCCCAATTCTCGGTGTCTATGCCACAGTTTTTAAGGTTGGCTTTAAGCCCTGTCCACCAACCTTCCATTTTCCATTCTTCAATTGTGAGTAGAGTAACTGCTTAAGGAGATGGTGATCGGGCATTCGGACAACATGGCCAGTCCAGCAGAGTTGATGGCAAAGGATCATTGCTTCAGTGCTGGTGGTCTTTGCTTCTTTCAGCATAAATCAGCTGAGAAGCCATCTCTGATTTTATGACCTCCATACCCACAGGACCAGCACCAGCAATTTCCCCTACCTGTATCCAACATAATATTTCCTCTATAGGAATTTTCTAGGCTCTCCAGGTAATTCTATGGCATGTTTCCACCAGAAATTATCATAGAGTCACATTGGAGGCACTCACAATTTTCTCTCAGATTTTTCTAGGTCCTCCAATTTGATTATATGGTAACTTCTGGCAGAAGTTATACATGTTAGTAGAGTTTGGCATTATTATCCTTGGTTTATTGTTTCCACAGAAAATTAATGAACATGTTCCCTGTGGCTACAGGGAGGTCATACTGTATTTAATATTTAAATTTGCAGGCATTAATTATTGTAAAAGTTACCATAACCTAGCTACATGAACTTCACAATTACTAAGAACATGCACTTGATATTATGATTAATGGATTACAAATAAAACCATCAGAAAGGCTATAATAAAGTATGAAATATTCCTTTGGTAATAGTGAACACTGGGCCTTTCTAAATCTCATATTGTTTTGTGGAAGTATTAACAATGCGCCAGCACAACAGACACACTGCAAGTACTTCAGTGCTTACAGAAAGCATTCTGGTGGTGGAACTATTAACAGCCAAGAAGATTCACTACAGTGTTCCTTAAGGGCACAGAACTGGCAATACTGCAAGTATATCACAGTAACTTCCAAGGAACGAACTGTGCAAAAATGCAAGTATATTTCCTCATACTATTTCTTTTAGTTCGTTGTAACAAATAAATCAACATCTGCCCTAGGCCATTTCAGTTTAGGATGATTTACATTACTTTCTGTTGCTAGTGTGTGCAATTAATATTGAACAATTCTACCATTAGTGGTGCCTTAAATGAATTTAAATAAAATCAATATTTTTTAAAAATAAAATTTTACTTGAGCAAACAATATAACCCAAAAGCTAGGAACATTTGCCCTGTACACTAATTTCTGGTCTTTGGATCTCATCCTGCTCTACTGCATCTATATTGTTATAAACATATTCAAAAAGGCATGCAATAATGTATGTCAGAACTCTTTATCAGGCTATAAGATAGGAAAGGCATGGAGAAGATTTTAGAAAACTGGTTACATATTATTACCACAAGGTCTACACTTCACAGTCTCTTGAGACAGAGACCAAATATTGAATTAATTATACTCATATATAAGTTGACCTCATGTTTAAGTCAAGGGTAGGTTTAGGGGCCAAAATTATGTATTTTGCTATGACCAGTGGATAAGTTGAGGCTCATTCAGTGAAGTAGGGAAAGCATCAATGCCACCTCAGAGGGTGAGCTATATCCCCTCCTTCAAATTCAAGAAGTTCAGAAGTGGAAAAGCAGAGAGGGTTGGTGCTTCTTTTAGGTTTTCCCAGGTAGGACTAAACTCTTACCTTTTGCCCCTTTATTACGAGAAGGGTATGGTACATTGACCAATAATTCAGCTGACCCAGATTTTTAGAGTTGATTTTCTGACTAAAATTTCCAGATTTATACACGCGTATATAGGATAGTCATTGGTAAATATTTCAAGCTGCATTCCTGGACAAAGATGTGACAATTGACCCACATTCCTTCAAGTATTACACTGGCTGTAATTCAGATCTGTGTCTTCTTCAAACTAATTTTACAGCAGATCCAGCTGTACAGTAGATCCAGCTCTAAAATCTACAAGCAACCCATGGTCCCATAAAGCCAATTGCTACTTGTTCCTAAATAAATTGCACATGTGCATGATATTAAACTGTCTTAAACTGTTTTGACTCGTTTTAAAGTGTATTCTTTTAACCTGCATTTTTTCATCTTATTTAAATTGTTTCTACTGTTTTAAATTGGTTTATACCAAGATCCCCGGCTGTTGGGCAGGATAGACACATATTGATAAATGAACAAACAAATGTTCCATCAAGCAGTCTATTTTAGAAACTGTGCTACAAACTTACTTCCATATCAGCTTGTTCTTTGCACACTTTCCTGCCACTATGTAGGCTACTATTTAAAACACTTCCAGCACAACAACTCTAAATGTTGAGAAGTGGGGAGGAGTAAAAGGATTGCTATACAAAACTACCAGGTATATTTGATGATATAGTTGGCCCTCCACATTTTCAGGTTTGATTTTTATTTATGTAGTGTAATTCATGGCCATTTTCCAACAGAAGCTGACCACAGTCATGCTGGAGGACCTAGAAATTCCTAGAAAGATGTTCTCTCAGTTTTAAAAAATAGTAATTTTCTATTCATTTTTTTTACTTTTAAAGGAGTCCTGTGCCCCTAACCCCAGCAATTGTGGAGAGCTGATTGTACTTTAATTTGGCATTTAGCACTCTGGTGGGGAAAAGACCAAATCAGATTAACCTAAAAGTAGACCAGAGACAAGCATGGACAAGAGTTTCAAAGCTATTCACCAATATAGCCCAGACCCATGACCCAGAAGCAGCAAGTAGTTTAGACAGCTTGTGTTAGATTTGCAAACATACATATTCATTTCAATATAGAAAAATGGCATTTGAATTGCTCTTCAAGATACTGCTGCATCACAAATGGCACTATATTGAATAAGGTTTGTGCCAACAGAGTTGTTTGGATATGGGCCCTGAGTCATTATAATGCTTTTGTAAGGAACACTCTCCCTGGGTTGATTTCCTATGGTAATCTCTTATTGCTAGACTATAATAATCACATACACAGTCTCGGCAGTCATTTTGACTTGGTAAGCGCATTTTAATGCTATTAGCACAGCACAGGCTCTCTACAGAGGTGCATTAAAATGTATTTTGTTGTAAATGGAATACAGAATTGTAACAACGCTAAATCCAGATTGCTGTGACTCAAAAATGTGGAATTGCAGGCGTATCTTGATAGCTATTTGTTACATTTCAGCGGGGGGTGGAGTATTATCCCAGTTTGCTTTTTGGAAAAATGTATTGTCCCAATTTCTCTATGGTGTATTACGACAGGAATGGTCATACTGTGTCTTACAATTCTATATTACTTAGTTTTCTTTAAAAAGAAAGAATCAGACGGCTTGCAGAGATATTAATATTTTAAAGAAACATTAGAGACATGTGGTTTGAAAGCTTGTGTCATTTATGCCCCACTTTTTAAAAATGTTAGCAACCCTAGTAAAGATGCCTTAACCATCTCTTAATTTTTTTTTTTTTTGCTGAAAAATATTAGCCTCACTTCTGTGGAAAAAGGCTATTTGAGAAGTAGGGTAAGTATAATCCATGGTTCAAACACAACCCCCGAAAACAATTTATATGAAAGCTATTTGTAAAAGCAGTGATTTGGTTTTCCAAGCAACATTTTTTAAAGCAAGAAAGTACAGTAAAGTCTCACTTATCCAACATAAATGGGCTGGCAGAATGTTGGATAAGCAAAAATGTTGTATAAAGGAGAGATTAAGTAAAAGCCTCTTAAATGTCAAATTACATTATGATTTTACAAATTAAGCACCAAAACATCATGTCTGGCAACAAATCGACAGAAAAAGCAGTTCAATCCATGGTAACATTATTTAATAATTACTCTATTTACTAATTTAGCACCAAAACATACAAGGGTTCTTTCTTTCTCCCACCCTGGACATACACATTCCACTTCCCTCACCTGTGGACCCAGGCAGGAGGCAGACTGTGTTGGATAAGCGAGACTCTATTATACAAAAATGTGCCCCACACTGATGTGGACTAGACATGCATGTTCAAATGAGCACATATATGTTTGCGTATACAAAGACAAAAAAGTCTCCCTCTCATGACCTGTTGTACACCAGTATCACACAGTGTTTTCAGCATTTGACTATAACTTTGGATATGGATACTCATTTTGCAATAGTTATCCATTGGGCAAGTCACCCTCTCTCTCTGCCTCAGAGGGAAAGAACAATGCTTGCCAAGAAAACTTTATAAGTCGGAAACAACTTGGAGGCATACAACAACATATGTGTGTGTGTCTATATATTTGTATTAGAAGGGGCATTGCTTTAGTTCTACACCACTGCCTTCACAATGAAAAAACCATACATAAGGATATAATACATAGGAGAAATGTCCATCCAGATGTTTTAAAAATCAACTCTTGCCCCATCTAATCAACCATGTAATATATTTCAAAGCTAGGTTCAAACTATAGTGGCCAGACAATAATCTCCCACAAAACTGAACAAAACAAAGCCCTTCACATGCACCAGTGCTTTGTGGTGTGTGTAATCACCATCGAGAATCAGGACGGGCCTTAGCCCGTGAGGGGAAGTCATTGGGAGGGCTTCCCCTCATCTACAAATGGCAGTGTAGATGCTGCCTTTGTTTGCACCTTTTGTTAATACCCCTCTATTCTGTCTTGGTCAGACCACACCTGGAATACTGTGTCCAATTCTGGGCACTGCAATTTAAGGAAGATGTTGACAAGCTGGAATGTGTCCAGAGAAGGGCGACTAAAATGATCAAGGATGTGGAGAACAAGACTCATGAGGAGTGGCTTAAAGAGCTGGGTATGTTTAGTCTGCAGAAGAGAAGGCTTAGGGGAGACATGATGACGGCCATGTATAAACATGTGAGGGGAAGTCATTGGGAGGAGGGAGCAGGTTTGTTTTCTGCTGCCCTGGAGACTAGAAAGCAGAACAATGGCTTCAAACTACAGGAAAGGAGATTCCACCTGAACATTAGGAAGAACTGCCCCGGACTGTGGTGGAGGCATCTTCTTTGGAGGCTTTTAAACAGAGGCTGGATGGCCTTCTATTGGGGGTGCTTTAAATGCGATTTCCCTGCTTCTGGGGTTGGACTGGATGGTCCACGAGGTCTCTTCCAACTATGTAATTCTATGATTCTATATGGTCAATGTCTCTTAGAACAGAGCCTGGCTGCAGTCTGATACTCATTTTTCTAGGAATAACTTTTAAGCAGCGACACATAATATTATGCTTGCAATGGGAGTTCCTTACGTATATGAACCTCAGCATACTTTGCTCTCCTTGTTCTATTCAGATGCTCTCTTCTTTTCTCTCTCCTCAATCCAGACAACTCAGGCTGCATTTGCTTGTGATCAACCAATGCAGTCTACCAGCCATGCATGAAATAATAATTCCTGCTATTTTCCTAGGGCTGGAAAAAATAAAAACACCAAGAAACTGCAGGCTATTGTATAAAGCTGAGGGTTACTTATATCATAAATCATGCATGTCTAGAATAACTTAAGTAGCATGAAAAGTTTGCCCACATGCCTGCTCTGTTGTGTTGAAGGGATCTGTAGTAAGATTCCATAGGCTCACTGACATTTACTTCTGAGTAACCCATTATAGGATTGCACTGTTACTTACACTGCAAAATGTATGGCCAATTGTTTGTCCAACTACAGAAGATCCACTGAATCAGTGGGTACCGACTATTGTCCCAGATTTCACATGCATACACAAAAATGCAGGTAACAAACCCTCTTTAAATGAATCACTCCCTCCTGCAAACAAACTAGTCAAATGTGGGTTAGGCAAAACTACGGTTAGGTGGATCCATAATCGGTTAAGCGAACGAACCCAAAGGGTGCTCACCAATGCTTCCACTTCATCCTGGAAAGAAGTGATGAATGGAGTGCCGCACGGTTCCATCCTGGGCCCAGTCCTGTTCAATATCTTTATTAATGACTCAGATGAAGGGTTTGAAGGCATGATCATCAAGTTTGCAAATGACACCAAATTGGGAGAGATAGCTAATACCCCAGAAGATAGGAGCAGAATTCAAAATGATCTTAAAAGATTAGAGAGATGGGCCAAAACTAACCAAATGAAGTTCAACAGGGACAACTGCAAAATACAGGACCACACCTGGAATCACACTGTGTCCAGTTCTGGGCACCACAATTTAAAGGAGATGTTGACAAGCTGGAATGTGTCCAGAGGGCGAATAAAATGATCAAGGGTCTGGAGAACAAGCCCTATGAGGAACAGCTTAAAGAGCTGGGCATGTTTAACCTGCAGAAGAGAAGGCTGAGAGGAGACATGATGGCCATGTATAAATATGTGAAGGGAAGTCATAGCGAGGAGGGAGCAGGCTTGTTTTCTGCTGCCCTGGAGACTAGGACACGGAACAATGGCTTCAAACTACAGGAAAGGAGATTCCACCTGAATATTAGAAAGAACTTCCTAACTGAGAGCTGTTCAGTAGTAAAACTTTCTGCCCCAGAGTGTGGTGGAGGCTCCTTCTTTGGAGGCTTTTAAACAGAGGTTGAATGGCCATCTGTTGGGGGTGCTTTGAATGCAATTTCCCTGCTTCTTGGCAGGGGGTTGGACTGGATGGCTCACGAGGTCTCTTCTAACTCTATGATTCTATGATTCTGCCTCGAGAAATACAGTCACACAGGAGAACCTAGAAAATGCCTAGAGGAGACAAACAATATTTTACTGGGCTTGGATAAATGGAATTGCAAATATCAAATTTGCATAAACAGGGGTTGTACTGTAGCCTTACTTGCAGTATTTGTTCAGTTGTACCACGGAATGCAAACAGAATGAAAAGGTTTTTAATACTTTCTCCCTTCCAGCATATTGCCCACACTGGATCCCTCCTCTCAAATAAATCTCATGAATACTATTTTTTTCCTTCTAACTGCGGTCAGAAACAATAATTTTTGTTTCTATAATCTTAGCCACTGATTTAATAAGTTATTTCTGGTCACCTTTACAAAATGTAATTAAACATTTGAATGCCACAGTTGCCACCTCTAATTATGACAGCAGAAGTGATTGTGACAATGGTGACAGTATGAAGAAATTTGTGTGGGTTAAATCCTCTAATGAAGGGAAGGGCGTTAATAATGACAATTGACATTTATATAGTGGTTTTTAATACAACAAGCCCAAAATACCTAACAGGAAAAGGCAATTATGCCCATTATAAGGTTTGCTTCTCCAATCACTGAACATGTCCACTTAATGTTTACAAAGAACAGGTTTTCAGCAGTCCTTTACAATGGAAATTGAAAAGGATCAGATAGGTGGCTTAGGTGAAAAAAATAAAGCAGACAATTAGAATTTTTATTTTGCTCTACAGTGATTTTATTTATGACAAATGCAATCAACTCCGTATTAGAATGTGGCTCAACATAACATTTTGTCCTAAATCCAACAATTAATCCCCACTGAATTAAGAAAACTGTGGTATATCACTTCCACTCCTTTAATAGATCTAATCCAGCTGGGTTGAATTTAAACCTTTAACTAGTTTTTGTTAGTAGCATAACATATCCAACGGTACAATTATGGTAATCACCAACATTTCAAGAAAATTGTAAGTACATTAGTCATCTCTACAAACATAGAAAATGAAAGCAACCTCCTCAAGTTGTATTTTTTACGAGGCAGGGAACTGCCCTTAGCTTAAATTAATACACCTCTCAACTTTTCAGGCAAATAGAAGTTTGTGTATTATTTAATCTTAGGATTGTCACTTATGCACCTAGGCCCATAAAACCTTGGAACAGCATATTTAAATATGAACTGCCCCACAATCCCAGTATATTTTGCTTGTATTCTTTTGTTAACATTGTTGTTTATTAAAGAAATAAAATTATGAATTTCTAGTTCCAATATAATGTTTTCCATAATGTTCTTCTAAGAAGAATTCTTCCTGGATTATTCATTTAATATTTTATCATTGTATATTGGTTTTATACGCCTAGGTGTCTCTATATGTATAAGAGGCAGAGGTAAATACCATATATAGTCTAGTCATGCTAATGTTATCCACAAGGACAGTGTTTAATAAGGAAGTCAAAGCTGTAACTTTTTCACTTTTTTCTCTACCTCTCCAACTTTATTATTGAAACTAAACAAGTACTAACTAGAATAGAAGCATTGGGTCCTGATACACAACTTGACATATAGATATGTACTAACCAAGTCATTAATAATGGCACTATTCATCTTCATGTGCATCAGAGTCTGTTCTTATTTTAGCTATGAGTTCTTGAATAGTGTGACAATACAGCTCTGTCTTTTAACATCACTAATTCCCAAGACAAAAAAGGTGGTGATCTATTCTAGGCCAACCATTTAATGAAATACTATCTACTTTACATGAACTGTAGGAAATGGAAGTCCGACCCAGATGTCCAGTGAAGATCAGGTTCTCTAGATATTCCTAAAGCATGTGTACATATGAGGGGTGTGCAAAAATCCATTCTGTTTTTGTTTCAAATTTTGGGTGCCCCCCCCCCCCGGGGACAGATTTTTGCCATTTTGCACACCCCTAATACATACCCATTGACAGTGTCAAGACCATACAGCCAGCCCTTCACATTCACTAGGATTAGGAGTACAGGCCCCCCCGTGAAAGTGAAAAATCACAAATAAAGAAATTGCTATTTTCTTACCAGAGAGAATAGCTCTCTAGGAATTCTTAGATCTTCCATTATGACTTTATGGTTAACCACTGCTGAAAGCTGATCATGGAACTGAACTGGAGGACCTGGAGACTCCTGGAGAGGTGTTCTCCGTGGAAATCTCTAGGTTCTCTAGCATGAGTGGAGGAAATTGCCTATGGTTACACTGAATGAACTAGATAGTTCTAGATTTTATCAAATCCGTGAATATTCAAATGTGCAAAAGTTAAAGTCAAAACCACAAATGTAGAGGGACAATTATACAGGAGCAACATACTGTTAACTATACTAATACCATCTGTACACCCATGTAATGCTGTTGTCATATGATAAATGGGGCGAAAAGCCAAGGCTCCGCATCTGAGCAGAAAAGAAATACTAACAGATCCCTCAGATGTCCAACCTACTAAAGTCCAAGAACTATTTGTTTAGATTTAAACCTACCAGAAAGGAGATTGCACAACCTGCTCGGGTAATATATTACACCACTGCCAAGTTTCATGCATAGTAAGCACATTTTCTTTACAGCACAGAAGACAAGGGGGAACACATTTCTGCATTCCCTGTAGTAATTTTCATAAGATTACAAGTTGGACCCAAAGGCACTTAGTCCAAATCTTTGTTCCATTCCACTCTGCATGATTATACACGATAAGAAAATCATGTAACATTGCATATTCAGTATAATGGAACCAAACTACATAATAACAGAAGAAAATATACAATTTAAAGAAAGTATCAAAGTGTGGTAAAATGGTTTGAGTGCGGGATGAAGGCACTGGAGATCAGGGTTCGAATCCCATAGGAGAATCTTGGGCAAATCACAACTCTCAGCATCAGAGGAAATGAAAAGGTGCCACACACACAAACACATTAGGATCATGAGTTGAAAATTACTTGAAGGCACACAACAAAAATAAATCAAAATTCACACTGCCTTACACTGGGAGAAAAATGCAGTGGTTAAAATTAATGTTCCAGTGGGTGAATACAGGTGAATATTTGTCAGGCAGTAAATCACTAGTGTGTATATAACCATCTAAACTTATGTCCAATGCTGTATTATGTACTGTTTCTGCTTCTCTGGAGTTTAGATCAAATGTAAACATGTAACCATGCTCCTTTACCACTTGGCAGGATAATACAGCTATTCATTCTGCCAAGTGGCACTCCAGAGTAAATTTCCACTATACTTATGTTTATCCATGTTCACTTGCTGTGTAAATACCCAGTGTGAACTACTTACCCACTGTAACCACCCTTTTGTATAGGATAGCAAACATGACTTCAAAAAACAATACAGACCAACTCTATTTTAAAGTGCTATCAATGTACCAGACATTCCAATTATAGTTTTTGATGAAGTGCTTCTATGAAATGTTAAATTTTTAAATTACCACTATTCTTACTGTTACTACCACTTGTTTATTGCTGTTGTTTTGAAAAGGGAAAACTATGACTGTATTCATTCCAGAGTAATTATCCTGGTATAAAAGAGAAATACATGACTGCGTTGACTGCCATGCAGTCTCGAACCAGATACTAGGAGCCTCATCACACCTGAGCATTTTTCCACTTTAATCCACTTTCAATGCTGTGACTGCCTCCTGCGGAATTCTTGGGCTTGTAGTTTAGGGAGGCCCAGAGCTTCTCTGGATGAGCAGTTAAAAGGCTCCTCCCTAATCTATAAACCCCAGAATTCTGCAGTGACTGCCTCCTACAGAATTCTGGAGTTTATATTTTAGGGAGGAGCCTCTAAACTCCAGAGAAGCCCTGGGCCTCCCTACACTATAAGCTCCAGAATTCTGCCAGAGGCAGTCACAGCATTTAAAATGGATTGAAGTGGGAAAACGCTCAAGTGTGATGAGAAAGGCTTAGCCTTAGTCAGTACTTAGATGGGAGACCTCCAGTTTATATTTAATGGCGAAAGCTGTATTTCTGAGGAAAGAACTGGCAAAACTATTTTTGCCTAAGAAAACCCTATGAAATTCAAGAAGTGACCATATTGTTAGCTGTCTTGAGCCCCGATGAGGAAACCGGTGGAACAGAAATAATAATAATAGTAATAATAATAATAATAATAATTCAACAGGATATTTGAAAGCATACACATGCATACGTGTTTAAGGAGTACATGTTTAAGGTTCTGGCCCAAGCTACCTATCCGAACGTATCTCTGCCTATGAACCCACCAGGACTCTAAGATCTTCTGGGGAGGCCCTGCTCTCGATCC